TCCTCGTAATCAGCTCCGTAGACCTGCGTAAAGCCCTTGACCACCAGGCAGGCTTTTTCGCGAGCGACCGTGTCATCGATATGATACTTCGTCGTCAGAACCCAGCGGTTCTTCATGACATTGACGCCGCGCGGACGCTCGACCAGCTCCCATGTGCCGTTGGTGATTAGACTTCGAATCTCCTCGTCCATCGCCGCTTTCACCGCCTTGCCCTTCCAACTCGCTAACGCCTCCTTCACTGTCATGTTAGCGATGTCCCAGCGATGCTCTGGGTCGGCGTGCATATCAGGGTCGAGCTCTGGAACGTTGACGTCGAACTGCGCATCATCGAGCAGAGTGCTGTAGGAGGTCGGCGGCAGGCAAGCATGGTAGCTCAGCTTCTCGCGAGGCTTGCCAAAGTTAGAGCGGGTGGAACGTCGAACTGCGGGCTTGTCGGCAGAGACTTCCACCACGTCGCTGTCGCTGGACTGCTCCCCGGCTGACAGCTCCCCTTCATCGCCGCCGATGACTTCAACAACGTCGCTCGAGGTGCCTTCATCGAACTGCTCCCCTGTCGTCCGCTCCTCTGAAACGCGCTTCCCGTTCGACGTCGGCGGCTTCTCTGAAACGCGCTTCCCGTTCGACGTCGGCGGCTTCTCTGAAACGCGCTCCCTGTTCGCCGGCTCCCCTGTCGGTGGCTTCTCTGAAACGCGCTTCCCGTTCGACGTCGGCGGCTTCTCTGAAACGCGCTCCCTGTTCGCCAGCTCCCCTGTCGGCGGCTTCTCTGAAACGCGCTTCCCGTTCGACGTCTCCTTTGTCGGCGGAGACTTCACTCCGACGCCGACTTGCTCGCTGACCAGATCACGTCGACCGCCAGCGATGCCAATGGGCGGATCCGAAGGTGACGCACCAATGCTCCCCTCATCGCTGGCGGCCGACGTGGATGCCGACTTAGGCAAGCCGGCGGCGAGCGATGGGAAGGAGGTGGGGAGAGGTGGAGGAGCGTTCGAGGAGGGCGGAATGGAGGGAGCGGGATCATCTGAAGGACCATCGTCCTCGGATTCGAGCAACGAAATCGCCGCTGGCGATGGACCCGTCGGCAGAGAAATCTTCGTCCGCTCTGACGCCGGCCCGTGCTCCGCCTTCCACTCCGCCAGAGACATCGTCTCGTAGAAGATTGCCTCCACGGTTGTGACAATGCGGTTGTCAGTGAGATCGAGCACCTCCCAGCCCTTGCTCTCTGACGAAACACCAAGGTGAATGCCCCAGCGTGCCTTCGGCGCCAACTTTCCGCCGCGCTGCTGCTCCGGGACCATGAACTGCACCATGCAGCCCCACACACGCGCCAGCATAAGGTCCGGCTTCTGCGCGAACAGCAGCTCATACGGCGTCGTTCTCGGGGGAAGGGAGGCCCGTTCGAGGCAGTTGCGCACCCAGACGGCGTGACGAAGAGCGAGGTGCCACCAGTGATGCTTCACCCCCATGTGAAGCAGCATCGTCCGCACAGATTCGACGACCGTGCGCATCTCTCGCTCCGCCATGCCATTCTGCTGCGGAGTGTAGGGGCAGGTGAGGTTGTGGAGGATACCCTTGTCCTCGACAAGTTCGGTGAATTTCCTGCCAAGAAATTCGCCTCCGCGATCCGAGCGCAACCTTTTCACCGTCATCGAAGTCTGTCGCTCCACTTCCTTCAGCCACTTCTCGAAAACGACCAGCACGTCGCTCTTCTTCGCGATCGGGCGAACCCACACAAAGCGGGTCTTGCGGTCTTTGAGGAGGAGGAAGTAGAGGCTCCCATCTGCGGCGGCCACACGGAAGGGGCCACAGAGATCAATGTGCACGACATCGAGGGCGTTTGCAGCCTCTGATCCCATCTCTGGAAACGTATGACGCGCGAGCTTGCCGCCAACACAGGAGGTACACGGCACGTCGGCTCCAGTGGACTTCTCGATGTCCAGGCCGATGGCAACTTCATGCTTCGCCGAGCTCATAATCGTGTCGATGCCGACGTGCGCGAGCCTCGCGTGCCACTTAGCCGGCTTTGACTTCGTCGCCGAGGCGATCGTCCGCAGAGCAACTGCTTCTGTCGCAGATGTAGTCGATTTCGAGGAGCAGGGGCGAAGGTCGGTGCAGAGAACTCGGCCGGTGTAGCGTGCTCGACCGAGCACATCTCCTGCAGCGGAAACGAGCAGCATCTCGTCACCCTCGTGCTTCAGCTTCACGCCGTTTTCCTCCAGCTGGCCAGAAGACAGTAGGTTCGCGTGTACGCCCGGAACGTACAACACGTCAGGGATGAGAATCTGCTTCCCAGTCTCCCCTTTCAGAGCAACTGTGCCACGGCCTTCGACGTTCTGAAGCGCCCCGTTGAATCCGCGCACGTGACGGATTTCTCCTCTTGGCTTCATTTCGACGAAGGCCTCTCGCGTTCCCATCAGATGATGGGAGCAGCCACTGTCGAGGAGAACTACAGTCGGATTCGCCTGGACGGCTGCTGCGACCGCCTGGAAGTCTTCGCCAGCCTCCGGTGCCAGCGAAATTGTTGGCTCGACCACGCCAACCATCGAACAAGAGGCTTTCTTTTCGCTCGAAGCATCACCCTCTGATTTCGACGCCGTTTTCGAGGACGCAGGCTTCTCCTTGCGCGGCTGGTTGTCTCGACGACGACTGTCGCTGTCAGACTTCCCGTCCTCTGAACGACTGGCGTTGTCAGACTTTCCGCGGCTCCCTCTCTGATTGTCGTCGGACTCGTCGCGATCAGGGCAGTCGTAGGAGAGGTGGTCAGGGTCTCCACAAATGTAGCAGCGGCGTCCTCCTCGACGCGAACCACTGCTTCCGCGATCATTGCCCTTCGCTGACTTTCCGCGGTCGGCGCTCTCCGTAGACTTGGTGTTCGACGACTTTCCGCCACCGCCTCCACCTCCGCCCGACTTCCCACGCTGCCCCGTCTGACGTCCCTGCTTCGTCGGAGCAACGTAGTTAGCCTGCGGAAGGAGCTCTGAAGACCGCTCAGACTCCTGCATAAACTCGTCCTGGATGATGTGACTCGAAAGCGAATCCTCGTTCAGAGTTTCGCGCGTGCCGGGCATTATCAGCATCCGTCGCATCAAATTGTAGCTCGAAGGGAGGCCGTTGATGACATGTGTGACATACGACGCCACCGAGTACTCGAAACCAGCCATCCGCATGTCGGCCAAAATTCGTCGCGCTCGATTGCAGTACTCGGTCGCCGATTCCTGCTCACCCATGCGAATTGTGGCCAATTTCTTCTCCAGTTGGCTGATGTAGAGGTCGTCGGTCGCTCTGTAGGTGCGCATGATGTACTGCCAAGCTTGGTAGCCGGCGTCCACTTGAAGTCGGCACTGCTTCAGCGCGACTTGCACGAGCAGCGAACAACACCTCGAAATGACCATGAAGGTCAGAAGGTGAGCAGCGCGAAATTCCGCCAGCATTTCAGAGTCGTCTTCGTCCGGCATCTCCACCTTGCCGTCAACGAACTTCTTCAATCCGGCGATCTCCAGCTGAGGTTCGATTGACTCAATCCATGTGATCAAGTCATGTCGTCCTTCGAGCGGCTGCGGCACAGCGATCTTGTCCGGCGAAAATTTGAAGTAGCCGTACGCTGGCGCGATGCCTCCGTCGCGACCAGCAGACGCATGAGTCGCCGATGTCGGCCTGGCTCCACTCCGCTGAGGAGAAAGGCGTCGACCATCGATGTTGCCGTTCGAACTTCCCGCTGCCGCCGAGCGCAGAACTCGTGCCTGCATTCCGCCGACGCCAAAGCCAGCGGCCCGAATCACTCCACGAAGCCTCGTGCTGCCTTCGCTGCCGACTTGGTTACCACCGTCGACCTGGTCGTCGACGCCGCCTTCGTTGCGTGCCGGTCGGGGAGTGGCGGGCAGTCCATCCGCCTCAGTACGGGTCGTTGGGTGCTCGCGCGCCCACTGCACGCGGGTTCCAAAGAGCATAACCTCCAAGGTTGCTCCGCCGTACTCGCCAGCTGCGTGGCGTGCCCGAACGTCATCTAACCGCGCCTGCAGGGTATCCTCTACGACTGCAGCGACCTCCTCCTGGTCGACCATGGCGGTTTAGACTGCCGGCCTACTACAACTTAGGTATTGAGCACTAAAGTCGGCTACTCTGAAGGTTCTAACGCGGGGCCGTTCCACGCTCACCGCACCATGCGGAGAGTCACCCTACAACGGGTGTGAACTACGAAGGAGGGCACGGAGTTGTGTGGGTGATCGTAGCGCTCTAGTAGCGTTCTATCAGAGTTCGTACTACTTGCTCTGTTCACAGAGAGATTTGGCAAGAGTTTCCACTAAGGAAATTGAAAGTACATTGAAAAAGTGAGAATTAGAGTACAAGAATGAGCATGCAAAGTGATATCTCTGGAATGGCATTGCAACCCCTAGCAAGCATTCTGCAAGGCGAATTGCCAGCACTGCATCAGAATGGTTCGCAAACGCTAAAACAGAGCGGTCTGCCAGCGTAGCAGAAGGGCGACATGCCAGCGCTGCAGCAGGGCGGCCTGCCAGCGCTGCATTCGCAGGTGAATATCTGCGCAGGTGTGCACCTGCCGAGTAGGTGCAGGTAGACGGTTACACCGTCAGAGACATTGCGCAGGTGCCAGGTAGAAAACGCTCCGACGGTTTCATCAGATGTCCACCGTCGTCTCAAAGTAACTAGGCAAGAATGAATGAACTAGCAGAAGTTTGGGTACAAAATATGAAACCCTAGTTGGGGTTGTACCCCATATTGGCTACCCCACTACAGCCTACAAGCATAATACAGTTTAACACACCCCCATAGGCAAAGTGGGGGAGAACAAAGGGTCACAAGACCAGTCCAGCAAAGCAAAGCAAAGCCCAGGGTGGATCACAACGTCACCACGCTCCGAGCACAAGTAAAGGCCACAAGGCCAGTTCACATGCAGTGCTAGATATAGTACAAGACAAACAACACAGTGATCAAAACCTAGCAAGCAAGTAACAAGATATATATAAAGTACAGTACAAAGAATGTCAAGCAGTGAGCAAGTGAGGAAACGTGGACACAAGGCCTAAAGAAGTACAGTGCCGCTGATGATCACTAGGCGGGAGCGCCTTGGTGAAGATATCAGCAGTGTTGGCCTTCGAGTCCACGTACACAAGCCGAAGCTGACCGCGCTGCTGAAGCTCTCGAGCAAGAAAGTAGCGAAGAGCAATGTGCTTCGTCCTGTGCTCCAGTCTGTGCTCCTGACACAAGGCAAGAGCCGCCTTGTTGTCACCGTACAGAACTGGAGGAGAACTAGGCCGCTCTCCCAAGTCAGTCAGCAGGTAGGTGAGCCAGCGTAACTCCTGTGCAGCCATGGCTGTGGCGTAGATCTCAGCCTCACAACTAGAGCCGAGAACAGAGGAAGAGCGGGTGGACCGCCACGAGACAGAACCAGAACCAAGGCTGAAGGTGTAACCCTGTGACGACCGCTGCGTAGCCAGGTCGTCCACCCAAGAAGCGTCCGAGTGGCCAGTGAGGACAACTCTGTCGCGTCCTCCAAGCACCAGCCCCATGCCTGATGTACTGCACAAGTAGCGCAGCACCCTCTTAGTAGCCTCCCAGTGCTCTCGCCTGTGTCTCCCAGGCGCAACGTAACGAGCAAGGATGCTAAGAGGGTACGCGAGGTCAGGTCGCGTGCAAGTCATCAGGTACATGAGGCAGCCCACAAGCTCTGGGTACGGGCCACTCGGCTCTACGGACTCGTCCGGAGGTGGAGCTGAGAGCGAGTGGCTGGTAGCCAGAGGTGTGGCCTGTGGTGAGGAGAACTGGAAGCCGAAGCGCTGAAGGACCTGCTGCACCATGTGTGACTGAGTCAAGGTGATGGTGCGGCGAGCTCTGTCCCGGGTGATCTGCAAGCCAAGGTAGCTACGCAGCTCACCCAGGTCAGTGCAGGTGTGTCTCTTCTGCAGCTCCGACTTCACACGAGCGAGTGCCTCAGTGTCAGCAGTAGCAAAGACCAAGTCGTCGACGTACACGAGAATGTAGAACGGCGGCAGCGACGTGTCTGTGCGCAGAAACAGCGACGGGTCAGCAGTAGACGGCGCGAACCCAAGAGCCGCAAGTGTAGTCCTCAGTGTGTCGTGCCACTCGCGTGGCGCCTGGCGGAGACCGTAGACTGGCCGGCGGAGGCTCCACTGGGTACCAGGAGGAAACGACCCAGTAAAGCCAGGTGGGCGGCGCAGCCAGATCTCCTCGTGCAGGCTGCCCTGCAGGAACGCTGTGCTGAAGTCAAGAGAGTGAAGCTCGTAGTCACGCTGAGCAGCAACGTGCAGCAGAACCCGAAGAGTGGTCATCTTCGGGGTGGGGGAGAAGGTCTGGAAGAAGTCGACCCCCTGACGCTGACTGAAGCCTCTAGCAACGTAACGAGCCTTGAAGACAGGCGGAGAACCTGGCGGCCGCTTCACCCTGAAAATCCACATGCCATCGACGATGTTCGCCCCAGGAGGGAGAACCTCGTCGACGTAGGTGCCTGTGGACTTCCAGGATGCCATCTCTGCGTCCATGGCTGTCTGCCACTGAGAGGAGTAGGGACCCGAGATCGCCTCTGCGTAAGTGCGCGGAGTGGGGATGTCTAGTGCATCCGGGTCTCCCTCAGGGGCAAGCAACGAGGCCACGAGATGAGGTACAGCAGCCGCGAGAGAGTCAAAGTCCTCCTGCCTGTCCTCAAGGACGTCCGTGCCAAGAGCACACTCACCCCCGACGGACGGAGGACAGACAGACGCAGACTCAGACCCAGCAACAAGGCGAGCAGCGAAGTCTAGACGACAGGCAGCAGCAAAGTCAACCAACTCAGCGACCAGAGCAGACGCAGCCGAGGACTCAAAGGTAGGGTCAGTGACAACAGTAGCTAGGAGACGCGTGACAGTAGGGTGCTCAGCACGATACTGGTCAGACTCAGGGTCCGGAACAGCAGGCAAAGAGGACGCAGGAGGAGACGGCAGAGGGACACGCTGAGGAGCAGTAGAGGGACGCAGAGTCATGTAGTGAGTGCCTGGGACAGGAGGAGGACGCTCACGACGGACACGACGACCAGTGCGAGCAGTACGGACAGGCGACGCAGGACGAGACTCAGGCTCACGACGCTCTGCAAGACCTCCTGTGGGACCAGTGTAAGGAGAGGGAGCAGGGAGAGGCGAGGTAGGCGGTAACTGTGACTGCGGCTGGACAGGCGGAGGACACTCGACGGAGGGAGGAGGACAAGGAGGAGGAGCCTGCCCAAGAACCTGCTGAAGGAGCGGTACGAAGTACGGTCGCGGCCGCGCAGCGTCTCCAGAAGCAGAAGAGACTCCAGCGGCCGGGTCCTCAGTACCAGCAGGAGCTCCAACGTCCGGGTCCCCAGCACCAGCAGCAGCGCCACCGCTCGGGTCCTCAGCTCCAGCAGCAGCTCCACCAGGTGGGTCCGCAGCACCAGCAGCAGCGCCACCCCCAGGGTCCGCAGCACCGCTAGGAAGAGTACCCCCAGAGGCGGCAGCTCCAACTCCGCTAGCACCGCCAGCGCCAGAGTCCCCAGCTCCAGCAGCTCCAGTCGTAGTGCTCCCAGAACAACCAGTCCCGGCAGCTCCAGTACCCCCAGGACGAGCAGCTCCAGCACCCCCAACTCCAGCCGAGCCACGAGGACGGCGGAAGCGCCGGACGTACCAGTCACGAAGCTGCTGCGGTGTGAGAGACTGCTCAGCACCCCGAACCGGAGCACCCCCAGACGCAGCAACCCGAGGCTCCGTAGGCTCAGCAGCAGCACCCCCAGGCTCAGTACCCGCAGGCTCAGCACCCCCAGACTCAGCACCCCCAGACTCCGCACCCCCAGACTCCGCACACGCAGGCTCAGCACCCTCAGTCGCAGCACCCCCAGGCTCAGCACCCCCAGGCGGCAAACTCTCAGGCACAGTACCCTCAGCTCCAGCACCCGCAGTCCCAGCACTCCCAGGCCCAGCACCCGCAGGCTCAGCACCCCCAGGCTCAGCACTCCCAGCAGTACCACCTGCAGCAGCACCTGAGTCACCTGTGACCTCGACAGGCTCAGCGACGGGAGGAGGGTCTACCTGAGAGACACCTGAAGGAGCAGGACCCTGAGGGGGAAGGGGGTCTACCGGAGGGGGGCCAGGAGCAAGGAAAAGCGGTGGGGGAGGGAGGGGGGCAGTGCGGTAGGGGAAGAGACGGTAAAAAGGGACCGACTCGTCAAAGGTGACATCCTGAGAGGCGAAGACCCGGCGCGAGGTGGGGTGGTAAAACTGCCAGCCAGGCGCGTCAGGGACAAAGCCAAGGAAGACACAGGGAAGCGTGCGGGAGGAGAGCTTGTCCGCGGACGTATCGCGGACAAGGGCACGAGCACCCCACACCCGGAAGCGCGACGCATCGCCAACCTCCCCCGTCCAACGCAGTGTGGGCGAGGTCTCCGGCAAGGAGACACGGGGCCAGAGGTTGAGCTGATGCGCGGCGTACCGGACAGCAAACGGCCACAGAAAATGGGGAGCCGCCGCGTGGACCAAGGAGGTACGAGCGACCTCCATGACCAGGCCAATGCGGCGCTCAGCAACCCCATTCTGCTGTGGGGAGTCCGGAAGCGTGAAGGTCTGCTCAATGCCCTCCGCCTGACAGAAGGTCCTCAAGAGATCGGAGGAGAACTCACCACCTCTGTCAGAGTGCAGACGCAGGACAGGAAGATCCGTCCGGAAACGGCGGCGGAGCTGGAGACGAACTGTGCGGATCCAAGGGATCAGAACAGCAGGGACCTCACCCTTGGTGCGCAAGGGGAAGACCGTGGTGTAACGCGAGTAGTCGTCGACAACCAGCAAAAAATACCGCTCACCGCCCTGACCACGAACGCGGGCTGGGCCCCACACGTCCAGGTGGAGGGTCTGCAGAGGAGCCTCTGTCGGGGGGAACGAGGAGGAGTGAGGAGCGGCGCGCTGCCGCCCCTCGACACAAGGAAGGCAAGGCGGCGCAGGCGAGGCAGGGAGGGGAGGGAGGGACCTGGGAAGACCAGACACAAGGTGGCGACGGTGCATGCCACGAAGGCGTGGCAAGGAGGGGTGACCCAGGCGGTGGTGCCAGAGAAGAGTCTGGTGCGACAGGGAACGACACTCACAGGCGTGGGCTACCAGACCTGACGCAGACACCTGACCGACAGCAGCGACCTGAGGAGACGCAGTGGTCAGTGTGTAGAGACTCGACCCCGGCCGACGGGTAAACGTAGCCAGGTGACGGCCGGTCCTGGAGCACGTGCAGATCGCCACACGCTGTCCTCCAGGGGTAAAGGTGTCAACCCACTGATCCTGGATGACAGCGTTGCTCACCAGGTTCGTCGAGAACGAGGGGAGGTGGAAACCTGTCAACGAGCCAGACGGAACCGCCGGACAAGGGAGCACAGTGGTGGACTGTGCAAGGACTGGGCCCCCAGAGGGGTCAGCCAAGGAGACTGGGACCGGTGCAGGAAGCGGTGTGAGCTCAGTACTGTCACAAAAGAAACAGCGGGAAGCACCTGAGTCAAGGGTGAAGGTGTGACAGGCCTCAGCCGGTGCGGTACCTGAGAGAGCAGTCTCTGTGGGTGCTGTACCTGAGAGAGCAGACTCGCAAACAGCCGGGACAGCACTGGAGGGAGCAGGTACAGGGGGCACCATACCAGAGAGAGCAGACGCACTAGCACCTAGGGCAGCGGGCTCTATACCTGGGTCAGGCGGCACACACAAGTAACAGTCTCCCTCGGCACTAACAGTCAATGCATACATGGCAGCAATAATAGCATCATAGTCAAGAGCAAAGATATCAACACCAGCCCTCATCAGCTCAGCCCAGCGAGGGCGCTCAACATCCTCGCCCATCTCCTCACGCCAAGCGTCGTCAAGGCGGAAGAAGCAGCGGTACTGAGTGTGGAACTTTCCACACGTCTGCCCCTTGCGATCACCTGTGCGAATGACATAGGAACAGCGGCCACTGCCCCCCGACGTCCCACGCTGAGCAAGCCACTCACGAAGCTGCTGGGTCGACTGGGGACGCTGCTGCTGCTGGGAGCTCTGGCCCGAGCCGGTGCCTCCACTCCGACCTCCACCGCCGCCACTACCTCCGCTCCGACCGCCACCACCGCCACCGCCACCGCCACTACCGCCACCGCCGCCACCGCCGCCGCTGCCACCACCGCCACTGCTCCCGCCGCCGCCCCCGCCTCCGCCGCCGGCCCCACTCCCACCGGCACTCCCCCCCCGCTCCCTCCAGCACCGCCTCCCCCCCCACCTCCCCCACCCCCTCCCCCCCCAGCGCCACCCCCGCCACCCTTGCCCCCCTTGCCCTTGCCGGTGCGGCGCCTCCCACCAGGAGCAGAAGCAGCGCCAGCAGACTCAGCACCAAGGAAGTCAACAGCAGCAGCAGTAGCATAGGAGGGAGCGAGGGGAGAGGGAGAGCACCCCTCAAAGATGGGGGTGCGAGGAGCGCCGCGAGCAGCACCAACAGCCACAATGCTCTTCTCGGCTGCTAGCAGCTTCTCCTCTAGGAGGGCGACAGTGAGCTCAGTGGGACAGCGAGCAAGGAAATAGTCGCGCACTGAGCTGAGGGTGTCAGGGAGACGGGTGACTATGAAGTGGAGTGTCCAGTACAGGGGAGGGGGGTTCTTAGCGCAGAACTCGGTGGGAAGGGCGGCACGCAGGCGAGCATCACTAGTGCGAAGGTGGGTGATAAGATCGGCGACTGTAGCAAAGGTGGACAGGTCAGGGAACAGGTAAGGCAGCATGAGACGGCTAAGCTCGGCTGTGGCAGGTGAGGAGTAGCGAGCAACGACAGCGTCATATAGGGCCTTAGCGGTTTTGCAGTCGCCAAAGTGCTCTAGCTCAGCTAACGGCAGGTGACTGCGAATAGCCAGGCGAGCTGCAGCGTCACGAGTCTGCCACTGTGAACGTACACTAAGCTCGGCTGTGGCAGCAGGAGCAGCGGCAGCACCAGACGCGTAGTCATAGAGGGAGATGTGGTCCGTGCTATTGCTCATAAGATACAACTGCAGGTCATCGAGCCAGGAAGTGAACTGCACGGGACGGCCCTCAGCATCGAAGGAAAGAACGCGAATAGAGGCCATAGCTCAGGCGTGAGGGCACAGCAGAGCAGCGGCAGCAGCAGAGGGGACGCGCTAGAGCGAAGCTAGCAGCCACAGCAGGAGCAAGCGGCGGTGCACAGTCAGGGAGCAGCAGGCGAGGCGGGCGGCGCTGCAGGCGGGAATTGTGGCGGGCGGGCTGCGAAGCGGGCAGCGGGACGGGCGGGCGACGCGGCGAGCGGGCAGCGCGGCGGGCGGCTGCGAAGCGGGCAGCGGGCGGGCGGGCGACGCTGCAAGCGGGCAGCGGGCGGGCGGGCGACGCTGCAAGCGGGCAGCGAGGCGGGAGGGCGACGTTGCGAGCGGGCAGCGGGCGGGCGGGCGACGCTGCGAGCGGGCAGCGAGCGAGCGGGCGGGCGGACGACACCGCGAAGCAGGTAGCGGGCGGGCGGGCGGCGCTGCGAGCGGGCAGCGAAGCGGGCGGGCCGCGAAGCGGGCAGCGAGCGGGCGGGCGGGCCGCGAAGCGGGCAGCGGGGCGAGCGGGCTGCGAAGCGGGCGGGCCGCGAAGCGAGCAGCGAGCGGGCGGGCGGGCCGCGAAGCGGGCAGCGGGGCGAGCGGGCTGCGAAGCGGGCAGCGGGGCGAGCGGGCGACGCTGCGAGCAGGCAGCGCGGCGGGCGGGCGACTCTGCGAGGGGCGCGCGAGGGCGCTAGCGAGGGGCGCGCGAGGGCGCTAGCAAGGGGCGCGCGAGGGCGCTAACGAGGGGCGCGTGAGGGCGCTAACGAGGGCGCACGAGGGCGCTAACGAGGGGCGCGCGAGGGCGCTAACGAGGGGCGCGCGAGGGCGCTAACGAGGGCGCACGAGGGCGCTACGAGGCTAGGGCACGGGGTAGCGTGGTAACCGCATGCGAGCGGTGGTGGGCCCTTAAAAAAAACGGTCGGTAGGTCCTAGGGACCTCCTGCTCTGAATACCATCTCAAAGTAACTAGGCAAGAATGAATGAACTAGCAGAAGTTTGGGTACAAATATGAAACCCTAGTTGGGGTTGTACCCCATATTGGCTACCCCACTACAGCCTACAAGCATAATACAGTTTAACACGTCGAGCACGTGATGCCATTTCGGAGGTCGAATTTCGCTAAGGACCACCTGAGCGAATTTCGCATGCCCTCGCAGAGTTTCGCAGTCGCGCGAATTCGGCCGACCAGTTCGCCGAGCTGACGCTCGCCGAACAGCGCCCTTCGATCAGAGAACGCGGCTCCTCGGACAGCACCCCGTCCGTCAGAGATCGCGCGACCCAGAAGCAAATCAGAAGACGAGCTCGTCGAACAGCACCCCGTCGACCAGAGCTCGTTGACGGGCTGGTGAATCAGAGGACAACCTTCCTCGAAAACCACCCGCGGTTTCAGAGGACGGGCTGCTCCAATGCGACGATCACTTTGTCGAAATCACCACGTCGTCGCAGAGAATGCCTACGCCCAAGCGAGGGCGGGGCCTTTCACTCCGACATGAATCGTGCGGGCAACTGGCTGGTGCTACTTGCAATTGGGCAGGCTGTCGAGCTTGGGCGGACCAAATGCGCGTGCACTGGTTGGGCATCCTGTGTATTAAAGCTGCGGCCTACATACCTAGAGCAGTAGGCCGCAGATTATCACTTGAAAACCGGGTGACCAGTTTTTGAACTCGGCCACTTTGCTGCGAAGCTAACGGTCGAGAGGGGTGGAGAGAGGGGGTTGGGGTTCTTTCCGCCTGAAACAGAACTCCCCAGATTGTTTCCCTCCCTTCCGCCCTGAAACAGGAGCCCGGGGTCAGCATCGTAATTTATCAAGTTAGGGCGTGTCCAGCGCGTACGTTTACAGTTCACTGGCCGCTACAGTTACCACATTTTTGGTATGTAACCACCCTTTTAAAAAAAAATCTGGGCTCACCTATAGGGATTTACGCGCTTTCTAGGCACTTGGCGGCAAAATCGGTCGAAATCGTAGGCGCCCTTTTCTTCGTGTAAGAATCAAGCCGAAAAGGCTATAAAATGTGTATTTGAACATGGCCCACTCGGATATGCAATAAAATTTCAAGTTGTTGAATGATTTTCCCAACACATATAGAGATTTACGCGCTTTCTAGGCACTTGGCGGCAAAAACGGCCAAAATCGTAGGCGCCGAACTTTTCTTCGTGCAAGAACCAAGCTAAAAATGCTCTAGTATGTGTATTTGAACATAGGCCACTCGAATATGCAATAAAATCCAAGTTGTTGAATACTTTTCTCTATGCCTATAGGGATTTACTCGCTTTCTAGGCACTTGGCGGCAAAATCGGCCGAAATCGTAAGCGCCGAACTTTTCTTCGTGCAAGAACCAAGCCGAAAAGGCTCTAGTATGTGTATTTGAATATGGGCCACTCGAATATGCAATAAAATTCAGGTTGTTGAATGCTTTTCCCTGCACCTATAGGGCGCTTTCTAGGCACTTGGCGGCAAAATCGGCCGAAATCGTAAGCGCCGAACTTTTCTTCGCGCAAGAACCAAGCAAAAAAGGCTCTAGTATGTGTATTTGAACATAGGCCACTCGAATATGCAATAAAAATCAGGTTGTTGAATGCTTTTCCCTACGCCTATATGGATTCACTGGCTTTCTAGGCACCTGGCGGCAAAAAACGGCCGATGTCGTAGGCGCCGAACTTTTCTTCGAGCAATAACCAAGCCAAAAAGGCTCTAGTATGTGTATTTGAACATGGGCCACTCGAATATGAGATAGTAAGCACGATGAGGAGCCATAGCTAGGGTTGACCTAGCTAGGCAAGAGAGAATGAAGCAAAGGAGAGGGTTGCACTAGCAACAATGGTGGTACAAATAGCTAACCCTAGAAGGGTTGTACTCGCTATAGAGCACCCCACTGCAGGCTAGAGCATAATATTCTGACACACCCCCATAGCCAAAGTGGGGTGTAATCAGCAGAGCTAGCAAAGCAGTACAAGCTCAGGGTGGATCACGATGTCACCACACATTCTGAGCACAAGTTCAAGAAGGAATAGTTTAAAGTTCACAATTATGAGTAAAGCTAGAGGCAGTCACAGAGGGTAAGTGAGGAGGAGGAGGGCTGGCGAGAGGAGAGTAGATTAGGAGGCGACGACTGAAGCTGCAGACACACGGGCAACAGACGGCTCTGGTGCGACACAGTGGCTACCGGGAATGAGTGCCCCGGAGTACAGGAGTAACAGGCTCCGCGGCTAATACGCGCGACAGGAGCAACGGACCCACAGGCGACGGCGCAACCGGCTCTCTGAGCTACCGGGAATGAGTGCCCCGGAATACAGGCGCTACATACGACACGACGGCAACCTCCGCTCAACCTCCCCCAACAGTCCCACACCCCTCGACACACACCCCCTGCTTCAAACCCTAGCTCCACTCCCACGGTACCCCCCTTAAACCCCAAACCCTAGGCTCCCACACACCACCCCCCTCAGCGGCAGCTGTAGCAGAGGGAGACGAGGGAGGAGGAGGAGCAGGAGGAGTAACTCACAACCGACACCCCCATAGCCGCCACCCCCACACTCCTCACCCCCAAACCCTAAAACGGGCGGAACGGGGGAAGGAGCGCGGGGGACGGCGAGGGGGACGGCGCGCGGCCCCCAGGACGCCACCACGGGGCAGCGAGGGGCCGCGCGCGGCTCCGTAGGGCGCCGCGGGGGGGCCGCGGGCGACGGGAACGGGGGTCCGCTGGCGACTGGAATGGGGGGCCGCGGGCGACGGGAACGGGGGGCCGCGGGCGACGGGAACGGGGGGGCCGCGGGCGACGGGAACGGGGGGGCCGCGGGCGACGGGAACGGGGGTCTGCGGGCGACGGGAACGGGGGGCCGCGGGCGACGGGAAATCGGGGCCGCGGGGGGGTCGCGCGCGGCTCCCCAGGGCAGCGGGATGGGAAATCGGGGGCGCGCGGGGGTCCCCCACGGTAGGAAACCGCCGCGCGTCCGGGGCGCACGGTAGGCAGAAAACCGCCGCACGCCCCGAGCGCGCGGCGGGATGAAAAATCCGTCGCACGCCACGGGGCGTGCGACACAAACAGTAGTAGGAGCAGCGCAAGACTGAGGTGGTGGGCCCACCCACAGGATCGACCCAACTGGATCGTCCTGCTCTGATAGCATGTCGAGATAGTAAGCACGATGAGGAGCCATAGCTAGGGTTGACCTAGCTAGGCAAGAGAGAATGAAGCAAAGGAGAGGGTTGCACTAGCAACAATGGTGGTACAAATAGCTAACCCTAGAAGGGTTGTACTCGCTATAGAGCACCCCACTGCAGGCTAGAGCATAATATTCTGACATAAAATTCAGGTTGTTGAATGCTTTTCCCTACGCCTATAGGGATTTACTCGCATTCTAGGCACCTGGCGGCAAAAACGGCCGAAATCGTAGGCGCCGAACTTTTCTTCGCGCAAGAACCAAGCAAAAAAGGCTCTAGTATGTGTATTTGAACATGGGCCACTTGAATATGCAATAAAGTTCAGGTTGTTGAATGCTTTTCCCTACGCCTATAGGGATTTACTCGCATTCTAGGCACTTGGCGGCAAAAACGACCGAAATCGTAGGCGCCAAACTTTTCTTCGCGCAAGAACCAAGCCGAAAAGGCACTAGTATGTGCATTTGAACATGGGCCACTCGAATATGCAATAAAATTCAGGTTGTTGAATGCTTTTTCCTACGCCTATAGGGATTTACTCGCATTCTAGGCACCTGGCGGCAAAAACGGCCGAAATCGTAGGCGTCGAACTTTTCTTCGCACAATATGTCAGAATCCCAGTCACTAACCACTGGGATAAAAGGGCTTGTTTATATAGCGGGTGAGTGCGCCCATAACCCCCCAGGCCGACGTGCCTGTAACCCTTCCCTAGGATCATCGGGGATCCCCAGTGGACCTTTGACACCCCCCCGCACTGGGATGCCCGAAGTGCACACACCGGGAATCGAACCCGAGACCTTCGCTCTGATACCATGTCAGAATCCCAGCCACTAACCACTGGGATAAAAGGGCTTGTTTATATAGCGGGTGAGTGCGC